CTGTCATATTTATGGTTAGACTAATCAGGTTCTTTAGATACATAGAGGTTATATATAAATAGTCTTCAACCTCTTCGAAGAGCTGTAGAAAATGGCATTTAATTTAATCTTAGAGTTCTGTGTAGTGAGACACAATCACTCCTGGCAACACCGACCTATTCCCGAGAGATTGTTGAACACCAAAGACACTCCACTTGGAGCTTGTCTTCTTGATAAAACTGGCCTCTGGGCAAGGAACTGCCCATACCTCAACTACTGACAAATACACGGTATCCGGAAATGGATAAGCAGAACTGTCAAATCTTACCAAGACAGGGTAAGACAGTTTTGAAAAATCTCTTGCCTGTTAAAATCCGGAAATGGATAAAATCCAGAAATGGATAAACAGAACTGTTAAATCTTGCCAAGACAGGGTAAGATGGTTTTGAAAAATCTCTTGCCTGTTAAAAATAATCTGTTATTCTAGGCCTTAGTCAAAGTTGGTTGCTTCAACGCTGCAAACAGGTCTTTGGTGATTGCCCAGGTAGCCAGTTGTCTCTGTGATTTGTTGCATGTTTTGGAAGTTCTTTGATTGCACTTCCTAATTACTCAGGTAACATTATTTCCCTTCTTGGATCTTCTATGGGGTTGAAAATTAGATAAATGTAGCTAATTTCCTCTCAGGACTTGGCCAAGTTATTTATTATACAAGACTTTAGCTAGTTAGAATAGGATATTTGTACTTATTGTATATAATTGTGTAGGATTGTACTTACTGTATATAATTTTGTAGTAGGCTTAGAACTCTCTTACTTAAACAAAAGGGGGAGGTGCTGCGTGAGTACCTTCCGCTGCTTCAGCCAATAGTCGCTGAAGCAGGAGCCCACAGTGTTGCGGGAGCACCCTCCTCTCCGTCAGCCAATATCCGCTGAAATACCAGCCCACTGGGGTATGGTATATTTCTCTTTAAAAGAAGAGCAGCAAGCCTCGGCTCGACTCTCTTGGTTCCGGGGCTTGGTTGGCCGGGGCTCCAGCGGCCAGGCTCCTTTCCTGACCGTTTGTGTATATGTAAGTTTTACCCCCCAAAATAAATATCCCCTTTAAAACCTAACTGGTGTAGGATTGATTCACCATTACTACCATACCTAGAAACAGTCTTGTTTCCATTTTCCTTTTTTTTTTTTTCATTCAATTTCCACAACGGTGTTGTTCATATAAGCAGTTTCAGGCCAAGCATAGTGAGGCTTAGTCTCACAAATAAAAGAAAAGAAAGAAGAAAAAAGAAAAAGAAAAAACAAACAAGATAAAAGATTGGAATAAAAGCATTTGGATTACCACTGCCCAGGTAGAAAGCAAAGTCAGGCTTATTTGGTAAATTACCACCACCACCAATGCTGTTGAACATGAGTGGTCAATAAATTCTGACTGTAACCTGCCTGGCAGAACTGAGGATATTCGAAAGACCCTGAAACAATGAACACCCCTCCCCCGCCCCCATGGGAGTTTTCTCAGGAATCTCAAGTTTAAGAAAGGCAAAGGTGCCAATCAGAGAGGGGGAGCTTGTCTCCCAGAAAGGGATTTCACACCCTTCTAACACCTTGTCAGACCCCTGCCGGGAAGAGACTGAAGCCCAGCACTGGGGGGTGAGCAGAGGGCGGGACCTCACCCTGACCTGCACTACAGGACCTGCATTGCTTGTGCAAGTCCTTGGTCCTCTTTAAACTTTCTCACTTCAGGGCCCTCCCTAGATCTCTCTGTCCCTCTTCCAATGTGCATTTACGAAATTAATCTTTTTCTGCTTTTCACTAATAACTTTGCTCTTTTTATTGGCTTATTGAGAACAGGTGAGCGGGCCTGACTTGGAGCCTAAGTTGGGAACGCCAAGTTCAAGAACACAAACATGTCTGTTTGTTGCTCATATCCCAGCCTCAAGGCTCTTGGGGTTACTGTTAGATAAATAATGTTACAGGATAAGCAGAAAGGGAGCCGAGGAGCGATTCTTTGGGAGAGTTATACATCAAGTCACAGGCGACCATGGTGAAGTCCTAAAGGGAGAAACAACCTTCAGATCTGGTGGACAAACCAACCAACAAACCAACCAAACAAACAAACAAAAACAAAGAGCAACCAAAGACTAGAGCCGGAAGGGAGGACAAAAATAGAGTCCACAAAGGCTGGTTTCCCCACTTTAAAAAGAGCTGCTTCTTGCGTGGATCAAAGTCTCAGATCGTGAGGAATTGAGTCAGGTTGTAGCCCGACCCCATTCATTCCCCTACGCCTACAGAAGCAGTACGCCTGCGTATACTCTGCTCCCAGTCAAACCACAAAAAAAATTAGCTTAACTTCCCGGTGGCTTACTAGGTATAAATACATGTTCCCCAGACCCTCTAAAGTGCACTCAACCTTCCCGGAAAAAAGGTGTCTCAGTCCGATAAAGTGGTCTCAGTCCGTTGTAATCACGTTTGGCTGCTTCTCTGCTTCATTTATTTTTACATTCAGACTTACAGGTGCTTTGGATAGCTGGGCCCTGAGACACTGCATGGGGTGCGGGGAAGTTTTAGGGAGAGCGGGCCAGTGACCTAACAGTCACCACCCACGCAGATTGCATTCCCTCACCTCGGCTCATGAGCTCCGGTTCGACTCCTAAGGCTGCCTACTCATGACCCTCTACGGTGTCCGTAGGCTGCGGCCGCTAAGCTAACTGAGCGCTCAGGTAAGGACAGGACCGCGGCTTTGCCTGCTGGTCCAGCTCCAACAAGCGGGATTTGGGCAGCGTGGCGCAGCAGAGCCAGATGAGACGCATTTGCGTGCAACAGGTCATGTACCCGTTACGGCCTGAGATCGCGTCTGCCTTCTCCACATACCTGGAACGCGTTAGCACGCACCATTTCCAGCCTCTGGGTGTCCTGGTGTCCGTCTGAGGCTCCTGAAGTCAGTGAGGGCGACCTGGATACCCAGGACTGGGATCTAGGATCTACTTCCAAAGAACACAAACGTGCCTAATGTCGGGGGCTGGGAGGGGATGCAGGAAGGAAAGTAACCAACCTGATAACCACAGATAGCCTCACCTACGGAGTAAACTCCTCGTTGGGTAGGCCACGCATTCAAATAAGACAGTGATAGGCCAGCGAACCCTAGGCCCGCCTCCTGGAGCTCGAGGGACAATAGAAACAACTTTTACTAAGCAAGATAGAGATCAAATTACAGATTCTAGGCTTCTCCAGATCCCTGAATCCTGCTGTCACCCGTGTCTGAGCCCCATGGAGTGCTAGTACAGGGTGCTGAAGAAACCCTGAGGGCGCGAAGGCAACTGTAGACCTTGGGGTTGGGTGAAAAACTCCTTTCAGAACTAGAATCAGCGGCTGCATCTGCCTTTCTGCTCTGTGACTCTTGTGGTCTCCCTCAAAGGCCAAGCACCTTCCTGGAGGACCACAGGGCTAGATAGGCATCTTAGTGGTAGAACTTTTGCTGAGTATGCATGAAGGCCTGCCCCCTCCCCCGACCACGACCCCACCACACCTGCATTAAAAATAAGACAAGAAAAAAAAAAACTAAAAACAAAATACTTAAGACAAATATTTATTTTTAATTATGTCTATACACGTATGTCTGTGTGGGTATGAGCAAGGGAGAGCAGTGTCCCCAGAGGCTATTGGATAGGATTGTGTTTGTCATCCAGATTGCTTTAAAAAGCCTATACCTTTCCAAACCAGCAGGCAAGGAGGTAACCAAGTCAAACTGGAGCAGTGTCTGATGGTTGAATGCCCATTAGTGGCTAAATAAACCTGATGCTGCACTCAGGTATTTCTAGTATCAAAACCTAATAAAATATGTGTAATAGGGTGGAACAGAAGGTTACTATATTCATATGTCTTCTTAAGTAGACTAGACATTAATAAAGGGGGAAAGTGTCTAAAATGAAGTAATGGGAAAATAAATATTTTTTTTTGCTGTGTATTTTTAATGAGGACATATACTTCCTGTCAAAATACTACTTCAAAATGTGATTGTAGAATAAGACGGGAGCATTGTAAGTGAATGTGAAGTCATTCTGGGCTACAATAAAAATTAAGTTAGCAGCTATTTCCTAGCTATTGCCTACTTCAAGGAAGCCAAGAGGGGATGAGAAGACGCTGGCTCAATGGTTAGGAGCATAGGATGCTCTTTAGAGGTTTAATCCCCAGCACCCCAGAAGGGAGGCTCAAAACTACCTGTAAGTCCAGTTCCAGGGGACTCAATGCCTCATCAGGCATCAGGTACACATATGCAGGACAGACATGGATGCAGGCAAAACACTACTCATGAAATTTTAAAAGTTAGAAAGGGAAGGAAGATGAGACAGATAGACAAGACAGACAGACAGACAGACACACACAGAGGTGGGGGGAGGGAGGCAAAGAGTTTGGGGAAACATAATACAACTACCTATAGCTTGCCTGGTAGGTTGCTACTCACTCCAAGTTTACTAAATAGTCACAGAGATTTCTTCTGGGTTCAATGGTTAAATTCTATGATTAACAAGATACAATTTCCAAAAGCGGAGCCCAGTTTCCCTGGGAATACCAGAAACTAAAATATAGTCCAGACAGTTCTGGAAACTTGGAATCCTTCCTACTAGCTTCCCAAGTAGGATTACATGCTTGTGCCACCACACCCAGTCGTGACATTCATAGTGGATCTCAGCCCACCCGGCATGGCTGACCCGAGACAGCACTCAGACTCAGTGGGTGAGATTGTCACATTAAAATCAAGTATCTCTTTAAATGGAACTTATTTCCCAAACTTTAAATTTCTTAAATTTTGAGTTGAACCAAGAAATATTCCCACAAGCTTTCCAATGCCAGGAGTTCTCTCAATACATTCTTTCAAATGCTACCAAAGGAGACCTCACAAATTCTGTACTTTAGGCTACCCTCAGTGAGTTCTTTCATTTCTACAACAGGGTAACTGAAAGATTTGTAAGATTCCCTATGTCTTACTCACTGTTCTATTGCTGTGAAGAGACATCATGACAAAGGCAAGTCTTATAAGAGAAATCATTTAATTGGGGGTTTGCTTACAGCTTCAGAGACTTAGTCCATTGTTATCACGGCTGGGACATGGTACTTGGGCAGTAGCTGGGAGCCACATCCTGAACCATAGGTGCAGAGCAAGAGTGAGTGGATCTGGCATTGGCTTTTGAAACCTCAGAGTCCACCTCCAGTGTCACACTTCCTCTAAAAAGTTCACATCTACTCCAACAAGGCTACATCTTCTAATTCTTTCCAACAGTGCCACTCCCTGGTACTTGAGCATTCAAATATATAAACATGTCTGGAACATTCTTATTTAAGCCATTACATTATACATGAAGGGTTTCGCTCCAAAATGACTACTACAATGTGTTTTGAGGGCCCCTTAAGAACTAAAGGCTGTCTACATTGTGTGCATAAGGTTTTTTTTTCCAGTGTGAGCTATTTTGCATCTTCTCCAAAATGAAAAGAACACATTAGACTTTGTCACGTTCCTTGCAGCTTTTCTCCAGTGTGTCTACATCCATGTATTTGAAGGGAACTTCTAGAACTAAAGCCATATTGATTCAAAAGAATAGCTTCTCTAGAAATTGTTTGGCATTTTCCCACACTGATAGCACAAACTGTTTCATGTTGTTTGATTTCTGTGAGAGCTAAGCAAGAGAAGACTTTCTCGTGCTATTTACAAGCATCTTTATTTGTTCTGCCATGAATTGGTGTGTGTCTTCGCAAATGAGTTGCACTGGAAAAGCCTCTACCACACGTCTCACACCGATAGGGTCTCTCGCTGCTGTGGATTCGCTCATGCACTCGAACCTCAAAGAAGCGCCGAAAAGCTTTCCCACACTGCTTGCATACATGGGGCTTTTCCTCACTGTGCATTATTTTATGTTTTCGAAGAGAGCTGTCAGAGCTAAAACCTTTCCCACATTGCAAACACACAAAGGGCTTCTCTCCAGAGTGATTCCTTTCATGGCTCTGGAGGGAAGATGAAGACGCTAAATCCTTCCCACACTGCTTACACTTGTAGGGGTTATCCCCAGCATGCATTCTTTTATGGAACTGAAAGGAACTGTGATTATTGAAAGATTTCCCACATTGCTGGCATACATACAGTCTCTCTCCAGTGTGGGTACTTCCATGTCTTTTAAGGTTTCCAGAACTACCAAAGGTTTTCCCACAGTGCTCACACACATAGGGCTTCTGACCAGTGTGAATTCTTTCATGTGTTTTTAGGGAACTGGAATAGGTAAAGCCCTTCCCACACTGTTTACAAACATAGGGATTCACACCACTGTGAATTACTTTATGCTTCTGGAATTGATACCAAAATGTAAAGGAATTTCCACACTGCTCACACACGTGAGATTTTTCCCGAGTGTGAGTGAGTTCATGTGACTTAAGGTAACGAGAAGCAGTGAAGGCTTTCCCGCATTGCTGACAGACATATGGTTTTACACCAGTGTGAATCCTCCTATGTATTCGAAAGTAAGTAGAATCAAGGAAAGTTTTCCCACAGTGATCACACACATAGGGTTTGTCACCACTGCGAATTCCCATACGTCTTCGAAGGCAAGCAGAACGAGGAAAAGTTCTCCCATAATGATTAGGCAGAAAAGGATTCTCACCCGTGTCAGTGGTCTGATGTCTTAAAAGGTTACCTAACCGAGCAAAGCCTTTCCCACACAGTTCACACATGTAGGGCTTCTTAACACTGTGAATCTTCACATGTCTTTGTAAAGGGTTGGGATGGGTGAAGGCTTTCCCACATTGCTTGCGAGCGTAAGATATTTTTGCATGGGCTTGTTCTTCATTCCTTTGACCAGATTGGAGACAAAGAAGGTCTTCTTTGCAGTTCTTATTTTTAGAAGGTTTCCCTCCAGTGTGAGCACGTTTATGTGTCTGAAGGGACAGAGGAGAGCTGGAGCTGCCTTCAAACCCCTTATACAACTTCTGTCCATAGTCCTGGTCTTCATGAGGTTTCTGTCCTTCCTGATGGTTCAGGGGCACATCTAGAGATGGACGGCCAATGCTTCTTTCTCCACACACATTCTTTTCACATGTGGCAAGTCCTGGACAAGATTTCAGGTTCACAGAAGACTCTGGAATACAGCTGAAGATTTCTGGATACTGAAGATTTTCTTTATAGTCACGGAATTTCTCTTCCAGTTGACTGCTGCAAAACAGGTGAAGAGCACATGACTAAGACTTTGTTTACTAACGACTGAGGGAAACAATGCTGGCTTCATGCTGAGAAATCGCCTGTTACATGTTTGGACTGCAATGCTTTAAGAGACCACTTGAGGACAGCTATAGCAGAAACAATGCTATTGATGAATGGTGGAGTATGTTTTCTTGAGAACATTAAATATTTACATAGCATTTCAATACAAATTTCAGTCCAAATCTTATGCATGTTTTGGATGTGCAATGGTATCAGTCAAAATCATCTTTTTTTTCTTTTTAAATACTTGCATGTGCATGAAATACACTGACAATTAGCTATTCCTCACTTGGCTCCATGACTGGGGGATAAATCAATACAACATTAAGTATGAACA